ACAGTGAGACTCTGTCTCAAAAAAAAAAAAAAAAGAAACAGCATCAAGAGATTATCAGAAAAGTAAATTCTCTTTGTGTGATCTTGAGCTCATAAATGAAGGTGTTTTGTTTCCGTTTGTTCTTTGTTTTATAATTGCCAAGCAAGCAGACAGTGCTTCTTTCCCCCCAGTCACATTGCAGTTATTTTAGCATTTATCCAGCACAGGGATTATTAAACTTCCAACCTTTCCCTATTTTTTTGTAAATAAAGTTCTTTTGGGACACAGCCACCCTCGTTCATTTCCGTATTGTCTGTGGCTGCTTTCGCTCTCCAGCACAGACTTGAGACAGACCGTGTGAACTTCATAGCTCAACATATTTATTATCTGGCTTTTTACAGAGTAAGTTTGCCGACCGTGATCTGGACAGTTACCAGTATTAACTGCTTTATAGTCTGTCTTTTGTGAGAGACAAATAGGAAAAAACATTTCCATATCACCAGTGTTTACTATCAATTGTCTCTGTTGACACTTTGTGAAAATTTGGTGCACTAAGCACATAGACAGGAGCACTTCCCAGCCAGGCTTACTCTCCTCCCGTGCTGTTTTCAAGAGGCCTCCATCGCAGGGGCTGGGCCCACGAGCAGGCACCTTCCTGTAAATCCTTCCGGTAGAGTTTGTTCTCTGATGTGAAATCCAGCTTGGCAGGGCCACCTTTTCATGAGGACAAGATGAAAACCTCAAGAATTAATAGAGAAGAAGTTGTTATAGGATCTCCCATTGTGGCTTATTTACAAAAATAAAAACAAAAATTAAAAAAATACATTGAACAAACATGTATTGAGAAATTGCAGTTAGAAGGGTATTACGATGAATCAGAGTGGCCAGTGGAGTGGACATTTGAGTTTTCTAAAGATTTGAATATCTTGTTTCAAGTGTTAACTCCAAGCAGTTTAGAATTTAAATGTACTTGAAAGAGTCTAAAATTTTAAATCAAAAGATTTTCATTAAATCTAACTTAAAATAGTTTTTTAATATAAATGCTTGATTAAAGTTGGGAAGCAGGCCAGGCGCGGTGGCTCACGCCTGTAATCCTAGCACTCTGGGAGGTCAAGGCGGGTGGATCGCTGAAGGTCAGGAGTTCGAGACCAGCCTGAGCAAGAGGGAGACCCCGTCTCTACTAAAAATAGAAAGAAATTATCTGGACAACTAAAAATACATATATAGAAAAAATGAGCCAGGCATGGTGGCACGCATGCCGGTAGTCCCGGCTACTCGGGAGGCTGAGGCAGGAAGATCGCTTGAGCCCAGGAGTTTGAGGTTGCTGTGAGCTAGGCTGATGCCACAGCACTCTAGCCAGGGCAACAGAGCCAGACTCTGTCTCAAAAAAAAAAAAAATAAAGTTGGGAAGCAATGAAAGATTGGAGTGTTATATGAACATGCAGAGCGGAAGAGTTCTGTCGGACAGTGAAATCAAACTCATGTTGGATAGATTGTTGGCGATTTTGCCATGAGCACATGGGATTTGCTGAGTTCAGTGATGGTTTACCTATAAATCTTTTTTCCCTTCTTTTTAAAGAATATATTCTGTTTCTACCTTTTTAAAATTATAGGCATCGATCACAAGGCTTCTTGTCTCTCATAGATGGTTTCTTATTTAAAAGTTTCTTCCTTTCATTTTAAGAGTTAGTTTTGTTATACTTGTACTAGTTACATAATAGTTTAGTGGTTCTGAGGTATGTGGTTTTCTAGTGGGACAATTTTTGACAGTTGCTGTCACCAAGTGGATTTTTGGGCTCGGTTCCTGTGGGGAATTCATGTCCTTCCTTCCTGCTTCATGGTCTTCTCCCCATTCTAAGTGAGTGGTTCACATCATTGGAGACCCCAGGACATACCAGAGTAACCTGCCTACACATAGTACAGCAAGTTCTTGCTCTGTGAATACCTCGTGTGTTTAAACTATCATCAGCCAGGTCACAGTGGAAATCCTGAGAGCGTGGGGTGCTTTGTAGCGTCTTGCCATGGAGATACGTGAGAGGTCGCTCAAGGATTAGTCTCTCCCCAACTATCTATCTGAGCGGAACCCCTGGCCCTGGCCTTTGGTCAACTGAGCCTCGGCTTATGATCCTGAGAAGGTGCATGCCTACCCTTCACTAGCTCCAAAAGTAAAGGCTGGATGAAGAATGGAGATATTTATGTTTTCTTAAAATGGAATTTATCATTATAGTGTTATTCAGTTGGAATCTCTTAGGTTATTTAGTTCATCTGTCATAGAAAATAGAATATGTTGATTCAAAAAGGCTTGATGATCCTTACATTTGTGTTAAAACTAAAGAAAAACTGTTTTGTAAAATGTGGACTTAAAAACAACAATTTTATATTTTAGGAAAGCTTAAATCGAAGGGAAATGAAAGTAGGCTAGAGTGAAGGATGTTCTGGGTGCAGGGGGTCTTAGGGGAGGCCAGCCAAGGGATCTCTGTTTCCTCTGCCATGTGGGTGTCGTGCTGCTTCGTGGAGACTCACCTCCCAGGCGGACTTTCCTGTGCAGACGACGCCTGCCTAACGGAGGCATGAAAGCGGCAGTCTGCACCCAGGAGCTAGGTTCTTTGATTAAAAGAAATAAATCAAATTAAAAGGTAAATAAGGGAAGTCCCTAAATGAAAAAAGTCAAGTTTAATACGGCATGATCTGTGTTTATTGCTATAAGTTGCTCTTGCTCATACTCAGGTGCTTGATTTGTTGCAGAAAAAGAATTGTCAGTGGTTTTGGAAATATTGCTGAGATTTTTGTCAAGAATTGGCATAAATGGTGTCTCTTTTTGTGGGGGTGAGAATAACGAGTCTGGAAATTGTGTTCACCTGTGATAGATGGAAGGGCGTGAGCCGCAGCTGTAGGTGAGACAGGCACCGCGCGACGCTGCACGTGGCCCGTTCTGCATTAGTGCAAGTCGACCACTTGTAGGAGTTCATGGACATGGGAGACATTATACTTTAGGATGGAAAGTCAATTTTTGCTGAGTAAAATCCTAGGAAAGTGAGTCGTATTTTGTCCATGTGACATTGTATTCCTTAGTAAATTTGTATTTGTTTTAAAATAAAAAATAGATGGTGATTGTTTCTAAAGGTGCTTCTTGCCTTAGCAGATTGTGTCCAGTATGGAAAGAACACTTATCTGCAGGTTGGTTATCCTTGATGGCATTAAGGAATCTGTTCTTTATCACACCTGAGACGCCTTCGGGCCATCAGCTTTGTGACCCGTGGCTGAGGCCAGTCCCCAGGACTTGATGCTTTTGGATGGCTCATCGTTGGAGAGGCACACATCAGCTCCATCACGGAGCTCAGGGTCTTCTGGGGTGGCAGCAGCACCCCAAGGATAGGTAGACCCATCTGTTGATAGATGGGAGCATTTCGCCAGGGTCACAGTGCCCTTTGTAGAAATCTCGTGAGGAAGGAAACCTTGTAAGAATTACCCTCAAACTCATCTCAGCACCTTTTAAGACCAGGTGTTCGTTGGTCCTTGGGAGCTAATTATTTTTCAAGAGATTTTGGAAAGGTCAAAGGTGAGCTTGGCAATGCTTGTTCAGCAGGCCCTTCCTTTGATGGCGGGGTGACTCTGCTGACCTTTTGTGGAAGGGTCTCTTCAGGCGTCAGCTCCATCCCATGTTTGAGGGTTAAGAGCTGGCCCCGAGGGTAAAGTGAAGCACTGTGCAAGTTTTCTCCTCTCCACGCCTGCTCATTATGTCCAGAGGGCCTTTCAAACTGCAAGGTTGCGCCCATTGGTGGATGTGAAATAATTTAGTAGGTTGTGACTAGCATTTTTTAAAATTGACAAATAATAATTGTAAATATTCATAGGGTACAGTGTGATGTTTTGATATATGTATACATCATGGAATGATTAAATTGTGCTAATTACCCTATCCATCACCTCACTTCATTTAAAATCTGTTCTTTTAGCAATTTTGAAATGTACATTATTGTTAACTGTAGTCTCCATGCTGTGCAGTAGATGTCAAAAACTTATTCTTTGTATCTAATGAAACTTTGTACCTTTCACCGTGACAACATCTCCCCAGTCCCTCTCCCTTCCCATCCCTACCACCCCACCAGCTGCTGGTAACCACCATTCTACCGTCTGCCTCTGTGAGTTTGACTATTCAGATGCCACACCTGAGTGAGATCATGTGCTATTTTTCTGTCTGTTCCTGGCTCATTTCACTTCGCATAATGTCCTCCAGGGACTAGCGTTTTTCAAAAATGAATAAAATGGAAAATACCAGGGTACATCATAAGTGATTAGGGCAAGTATGGTTTTGTGAAACCTATTTTTCAGGTATATGCACACACAAATGTTTATATAAATGGAGTGAAATGTAAGAATGTATTTCTTACTATGTTTCTTGGCAAAAATTTGAAAGCTACTCTTGTAAAAACTTTTGCAAAAACTTTAAAAATTAGCATCTCATTTATTTGGAAATTCAATCAGCCACTGCACTTTGCCTCACCCTAATCACTGGGAGAGATCCTGAGACACATAGTTTATAGAATTTCTTATTAAATTACCAGGACTTCCGGCCCAGCACACTGCTCATGCCTGTAATCCCAGCACTCTGGGAGGCCAAGGAGGGAGAATGGCTTAAGCTCAGGAGTTTGAGACCAGCCTGAGCAAGAGCGAGACCCCGTCTCTGCTAAAAAAAGAAAAATTAGCCAGGGGTGGTGGTGCCTGTCTGAAGTCCCAGCTACTCGGGAGGCTGAGGCAGGAGGATGGCTTGAGCCCAGGAGTTTGAGGTTGCAGTGAGCTATGATGACACCACTGTACTCTCTCTACCCAGGGCAACACAGCAAGACCCTGTCTCAAAAAAAAAAAAAATACCCGGACTTCCATTTTCTGTGTGAAGGGATTTTTTCTTCTGGAACTCCTTTCAGTAAGCTAATAGAAGGCCTATATTGTGAAACTTATACTGTCATTATCATTGTTGTTAATTAATATTAAAACCGCTTTTTCTTACATTCCTTTTTCAGGTTTCCTTGCTGCAGAATGAAAGTGTAGAGAAAAACAAGAGCATACAGAGTTTGCACAATCAGATATGTAGCTTTGAAATTGAAATTGAGAGACAAAAGGAAATGCTTCGAAATAATGAATCCAAAATACTTCACTTACAGGTAATAAGCGTAAGGCTGTGGCTGGATCAAAGGGGAGGCGTCCATGTTCCACTTTAGGGCTTCAGAGCTGAAGCCCTGACCTTGGACAAGCAGAGAAGCAACTTGTTCTTGCTTAAGTGAAGACTTGGGCAAGGTGGCCTGGGGTAGCTCCAGCCCAGCCTGGGAAGCTGCAGGTTGGCCGTTTCCTCTCTGCCTGGAGAGCAGGTCCCACCACCTCCCTTCTGTGCCTTTGATCCTCTGCTGGAGAAAGAAGGCCTACGGCCTGCATTTTAAAAATTAGCGGGTTTTATTATTATTTAAGACTTCTTATTGTTTGCAAAGTTTCACTTCCTGAAGTGAAGTGAAACTAAACTGCTGAGTTTTCTAGTGACACACATACTCACCCTACTTTATTTCACCACGATGATCCACACGAACCTCCAAAACAAATTAATAAACCTTTACCACTCGGATAAAGGTGATTATATAGATGGGCCTGATGAAATGTTGCTGCTCATTTCTGTTATCAGGACAGGGCTCCGTTAGGTGCTTGTGTCTAGATTATCACAGATACGACCTGCACGTTAACTTACTGGTAGTGTACATTGGTTACAGCAAGTCCCACGTGTATCACACCCACCTGTGGAAGAGTCACTGGTGTCACTGAAGTGGTTTTTCGGTACTTATGATGTGTTTCCCTGAATCATCTGTAAGAGAAAACATCTCTAATAGCGCAGATTCGTGGCATCTCGGAGAATGCCTTTTCTCCCATTTTGGCATTTGGAGATTAATCATAATGCCTTGAATTGCATGAAGATTCATGAAACTAATTTCATTTGTATTAAACTTTGTAGTTACTCGGAGTGAAAAGGAAAAAACACATTAGATTGTATTAGAAAAGGCACACATCACTAGTATCGAATCAAGCCAGAAAAGTAGAATGTCTCATAAAACACCAACAAGCCTCCTGCTGGAAGCCCCTGGCATTTTGCTGAGGTCCCACCAGTGTGCTGGTCAGGTCGTCCATGGTGACCTGTCCACGCCATGGCCCACCCCCACCTGCAGTACTGCCTGGTGAGCAGTTTTAGCTATTCAAAATTACAGCTACTGAATTTGGTCTGAGGCTCAGAGAGGCAGGTGGAAAGGCAAGAGAAATTAATGTTATGCCGGACAGTCGCCTATAAAAATACCCACGACAGAAGAGAGAATGAATAAGTAGTGGGTTCATATATAGCATATATAGCAAAACAATTAGAATATACACAACGATGTACAAATACACTGTTCAAAACCTCAGAGATTTCATGTGCGTGGATCTCTTTCATTTTCTCCTCATCCAGCCAGAGAAGTTTTCATTTATTTTACTTTTTAGTACAAACACTACTGTGTGTGATTTATATTTTTAAACTTTTGTGACTGAACAAACCAATAAGGTGTTAAGTCAGAAAGAAAGGGGGAAACTGAGTCATACAAGCCCAGAGAAGGGGAGACTGAGTAATGATGGCAGTTGTCAGTGTCCCTGACCTATCGTAAGTAGGAGGGTTCCTTCCTCCACGGAAAGGAAAGCGTGGAAGAGAACGGCCATGTTTGAAGAAAGGGGCTCAGCGCAGGCTGGACGCTCGTGATTTCCGTGAGTGCAGGATCAGGGGCTGCGTGCAGGGTGCTGCGGACGCCTCGCAGTGTGCACCCACTTGATGGGAGTGGGCTGCGTAGAAGGGCGTGCAACTGCGAGGTTTTGTGAAAGGTGGGATGTGGCCTTACCATTGGCAGCACCGTGGGGCCGGCAGCCTGCCTGGCGAGGAGAGAGTCCAGAAACACTGATGGAAACCCCCAGGTGTGCAGGGGCGCTGGCTGCAGGTGGGCCACGCCGTGCTCTCAGACCCTCTGCCACCCTCTTCGTTGGAGCCCATGTCCTCCTCATATTCCAGTCCTCACCTTCGAACCCTTTGGTAGGAAGGGTTTACCTAACTCTTCACTGTGGCCCAGAAGACCCCTGTGACTGGCCACCAGTCACCTTCCCAGCTTTGTCCCACTCTGTGCACAATGAAACGGACCTTCTCTTCTCTCCTCGAGAGGTGCCACACTCCTGCACAGATGTCCCTGAGTCCTCTTCCCCATACCTTCCTTTCCTGGCCAACTCCAGCTCCTCTCAAACACCTCGGATGTCAGCATAAATGCCACCTCCTCCAGGAAGCCTTACCTCACCCATCCCTACCCTCGGTGCTGCCTCAGCCCTGCATGTGGACCACCTTGGTGACAATAGCACATGCTACTCAGGGTTGTCTCCTTCCTTGTCTGATTGTCCAGTAGACCCTAAAATCCCGACACTGATAGTATGGAGTGCCTGATGGCTGGGCTGTGGCTGGTGGGGACACAGGCAGGGGTGCATTAGGGCAGTGCGATTTAAGAGCAAGTCTGCTCTTGATGGCCCAGCAAGGGCTGTCTCAATATTTTACTTCCCAGAGATCCTGTTTTTCTCAATTAAAGAGAGCTTGACCCCGGGCTCCTGCTGCCAGCAGGACTAGATGGACAGGTGGTTCTTGCGGTCAGGGGTCTGCAGGGCCCGAGCAGAGCAGCTCGGGGCCGGAACAGAAGGCAGGCGGCGCTCCGTCCACACGGCCCTCGCTCCACCTCCACAGCTCCACCAGGCTGTCTCACTGGACAGCGTTTGTGTGCCGAGGTCCCAGTGGCCTGAGGGTGAGAAGTGACAGCAAGCAATGTGATCGAAGCCTTGAGGTGTGAGTGCGGGAGGCTGTGGGGCGACGCTCTCTGAAAGCAAATCTTCTGATGAGGGTTTGTTTATGGAGTGCAGCCGATACCATTCATCTCAGAATTCTTTTTTCTAGTAAAATTCCACACCTGCATTTAAGATTTGTTTTTATAGAAACTGCAGCGGCTGCGGGTATGCTCTTTGAGAGTGGAATTGCGTTTTCTGCATTTTACAGAGAAAGCTTGACTTAGATCTGCATTCTGCTTTGAAACTGGGCCTTTCATACAAATGAAAGGCCTATTTTAAAAATGGGGTGTTCTGCCTTGCTGTGTGGGAACTCCTGTGTTGGTTGAGCCTCAGCTGTGTGCTGTGTGTGTCCCTGACTCGGTGCCCTGCTGCGCGGGGGCGGCCTCCTGCTGGTGCAGACGCCTCACTCAGGCTCCGGGCTTGAGATGAGGCCGAGGCCGGGTTGGGCGCCGCACCAGGGGCCTGAGGTGTGGCAGTGGCGAGCGGCTTGTCGGGGGCCGTGCTGTGACTCGTGGTTCACTCCTGGGTGTCCCCTGTTACAAAATGGCCTCTCAGAGCTCTGTTGAGTAAGTTTTCATTAACTTGCCTCTTCTACTCATTGGCAGCCACGCTAGCCTAGTTTATGGTATCAGTGGGGGAGCGTTGCGATGTTCACGCAGAAGGCATCGTGTGGGGAACGGTGGCGAAAGGGGTGAAGAAACAACCACAGCAAAGAAGGACGTTGTGGTTTGGGATATTCATTAATGTCACTAGTACCATCCCCTAAAAGCAGACTTTGTGACCGAATCAAATATTCCTCTGGCCATATGTACTTGTTTAAAATAAAGGTACATTGATATAGAAAGAGGTTTTTTTTAGAGAAATAATCCTTACTTTTTAAACGTTGGCTAACATCAGCTTTCTTAGAAAGAACAGGAAGAATAACACTGTGTTTTTGCCAAAGAATAACACTGTGTTTTTGCCCCCAAAAAAGTAATCCAAACCTGCCATGTTTATTCCTTCATGGTTGGTAACAGCCAGCAAAGGTGCTGAAACATAAAGGTTTAAAAATAGACCCAAAAGGAGAAGTGAATTCAGTGGGCCCTGGGGCTGTCCCTTGAGCACCTGCATGGGCCTCAGCTTCAGAGCGGCTTGGCCAGTCTGCAACTGCACCGGCACTGAGCTCTCTGGCCTTCACAAGCTTATTTCAAAATGCATATTCTTTTTAGAAGTGAAAACCGGCTGGGCATGGCGGCTCGTGCCTGTAATCCTTGAACTTTGGGAGGCCGAGATGGGAGGGTTGCTTGTGGCCAGGAGTTCAAGGCCAGTCTGGGTAACACAGTGAGACCCTGTCACTACAAAAAATAGAAAAAGTAGCCCAGCGTGGTGAAACACGCCCATAATCCCAGGTACTTGGGAAGCTGAGAAGGGAGGATCATGTGAGCACAGGAGTTCAAGGCTACAGTGAGCTGTGATCGTACCTGTGAATAGCCTCTGCACTCCGGCCTGGGCAATAGAGCGAGACCCTGACTGGGCCACCAGAGCTGGAGCACGATTCTCATCTTTCCATAAATACAAGTGGTCTGTTTCTGGAAAAACGGCTTTCTAAATTATTTAAAGTAAGATAGCACAAAGTCAGGCCTGCTGTTGGCAGCCACTCATGTGTCTGGCAGCAGTGTTGCTGCTTTCCTGCCTCTCTCTCTGGGGGGCAGGGGCCGCAGAGCTGGCAGCCTGGGAGGAGGAGCCCCACTCCTGTCGGCATTGGTCCCCTTGGTTTCACTGAGGGCCTGAGGACCCACCTCGGGGCCTTTTCCTGCCACCAGCCCTGTGTAGAGCCAGTGAGGTCAGGTCTCCCAGGATCCTGGTGCAGTTCTGGGACACCCTCTGCAGCAACAGAGACGGGGCCACACTTCCACCCTGGACCGGCAGCGGGATAGGGGGCCCTCAGATGTTTAAAGGGGCAATAGGCCACAAGGGGTGACTCTGGCATCCTAACCTGAGACCCTGTGGGTCCTGCACTGAGGACATGAGCCCTCTCTACCTTGTCCCTTCCGCTGGGAAGCAGGGACCATCAGTACAGTACCTGTGGCCTCTGAGGTACATGAGGGCATTGGACCAGATGCCGTGGAACCTGGCGAGCCTGCAGAGGGGCCGCCAGCCTGGGAGGAGACACATGGGGGTGGGGGCGAGGTCAGATCCAGGCATCTGACGGGAGAGCCACAGGATTGACTGGTGCCCGGATGTGCATGTGTGAGAGCCGGGCAGCAGGTGACCCTTGGGATGCTCCTAGGTGAGGAAGCCCAGGCAGGAGCTACAGCCTGCCCTGAGCGTACATCTGAGGTATTGCATCTGGTCATCTGAGCCCTCGGCGCCTGTCACTTCTCTGTCCTGAAGGTTCTCTGTTGGCAAAGCACATTGGACGTAGTGGGACATTATTCTGTTGTTTTGTATAAGAATGATCGTCCTCCGTCTGGCTTTAGGTCACCTCGAGTGCTCCCTGCAGAGCGCAGGCTTGTCCCAGGGAGCTCCCAGGAGCAGTGCCAGCTCAGGTTGCCCCATCTGGAGCTGGAGCCGCTGGTGGGTGGCCTCATCCAGGGGCCTCTGTGGCTGACTGTTTTGCTCCTGGCCAGCCTGTATTTGATGGGAGGTGGCTTGGCGTTTTCAGAGTCCTAACTGGTTGTTGCTTTTTTAACACCTTTGGTTTGGAAGCGAGTAATAGACAGCCAAGCGGAGAAACTGAAGGAGCTCGACAAAGAGATCCGTCCCTTCCGGCAGAACTGGGAGGAAGCGGACAGCATGAAGAGCAGCGTGGAATCCCTGCAGAACCGCGTGACTGAGCTGGAGAGCGTGGACAAGAGCGCTGGACAGGTGGCTCGGAACACAGGTGAGGCGGGGGCAGGAGCAGAGATGGGCGTTCCAGGTCCCAGACGAGTGCCTTGGTGTGAATGCGTTGGGCACACACTGCCTTAGAACAGCTCTTTCCAGTTACAGGTAACACACGTGCAGCGGTGTGATGACTTCCATTAGTAAAGACAGAAACGTTCCCCGCTTAGGCTTGTCCCCTCCGTGGGAGGCCCAGTGTGGTAGAGAGTAAGGGCAGGTGCCCCTGCAGGAAGCCCTGCCCAAGAGAGACCAGGGCCACAGGGGTGACCCACAGCACGGACCTGAGTGGAGACAGGCACAGAGCGAGGCCAGGGCCTGTTGGTCAGGGTGCTCCGGGCCACACTGCTAAGAGCCCCAGGGACAGGAGCTGGTAGGGCATGGGGGGCACTGCCCCCATGCACTCAGCCAGCATGTTCCTGATATCCAGTGGCAGATGTGGGTCTGCGGCTCTGCGGACTGAAAGAATATTGTGAATATTTGCATGGAAGGGATTATGTGGAAGGGAACGAGGATCACTGCAGTGCACTGGGGTTGGATTAGCAGGCAGAGGATGTGGATTGGAGTAGACGGGAGCGGCTTAGACTCAGAGCACACAGATGATTCGTGGCCTGGCGGCTGGAGGGCAGGGAGCGTGCGCAAGAGGGCAGCTCTCCTCTGCCCCCCAGGAGCTCCCGCCCAAGGCAGGCTTCACTCTGTCATCGACCCTGCAGTAAGGTGCCCTGTGACACGCAGGCCCAGGGCCACCCCCCAGGGCATCCCATCTCAGCAGGCTGTGGCCCGACAGTTCCTCCAGCCGGATGGCGCCGTGGACGTGAGTGTTGGATAGACGTGGTGTAGGAGCCTGGGCTCTCCTGTAGGAGGGACGCTTCAGGGCATCTGTGTGGTGTTTTGCTGCTCTCACCTGCAGCAGCCACAGTGATTGTTATGTTGTTATTTAATTCAAATGCTGGTGTGAGCCCCGTGAGGTGGTTCACACCTGTAGTGCCAGCTACTCAGGAGGCTAAAGCAGGAGGATCGCTTGAGCCCAGGAGTTCGAGGCCAGCCTGGGCAACGTGAGATCCCGGCTCTAAAAAATAATAATAAAAAAAGAAATGCTGGCGTGGATTTGCTTTTCTAACCTTTCTGACATTCATATGTCTCATTCGCCAAATCTCTCCTCACCTACGGTAGGCTTGCTGGAGTCCCAGCTGAGCCGTCATGACCAGATGCTGAGTGTCCACGACATCCGTCTGGCCGACATGGACCTGCGGTTCCAGGTCCTTGAGACCGCCAGCTACAATGGCGTGCTGATTTGGAAGATCCGAGATTACAAGCGGCGGAAGCAGGAGGCCGTCATGGGGAAGACCCTGTCCCTTTACAGCCAGCCGTTCTACACGGGCTACTTTGGCTATAAGATGTGCGCCAGGGTCTACCTGAACGGGGATGGGATGGGGAAGGGGACGCACTTGTCGCTGTTTTTTGTCATTATGCGTGGAGAGTATGATGCTTTGCTTCCTTGGCCATTTAAGCAGAAAGTGACGCTCATGTTGATGGATCAGGGGTCCTCGCGGCGTCATTTGGGAGATGCATTCAAGCCCGACCCCAACAGCAGCAGCTTTAAGAAGCCCACCGGAGAGATGAATATCGCCTCTGGCTGCCCGGTCTTTGTGGCCCAAACTGTTCTAGAAAACGGGACATATATTAAAGATGATACAATTTTTATTAAAGTCATAGTGGATACTTCGGATCTGCCCGATCCCTGACGAGTCCTTGGGGAGGAGGATTTAGCAGAAGGTAACTCCTCTGGGGGGTTTGAACCAGTCTGTCTTCACCGAGGTCCTCGAGCTCAGAAAAGGACCTTGTGGAACGGAGGAAGCGGCAGAAGGTGGACGCACGGCCGGCAGGAGGAGCCACACATGAACACACACCTGACATGTTTTCTATAGACTAGCAACACTTCACTCTGAAGAATTATTTATCCTTCAACGAGATAAATATTGCTGTCAGAGAAGGTTTTCATTTTCATTTTTAAAGATCTAGTTAATTAAGGTGGAAAACATATATGCTAAACAAAAGAAACATGATTTTTCTTCCTTAAACTTGAACACCAAAAAAAGAAAACACACACATGTGGGGATAGCTGGACATGTCAGCATGTTAAGTAAAAGGAGAATTTATGAAATAATAACGCAATTCTGATATATTCATTCTAAAATTCAAGAGTGCAACCTTGTTTCAAATATAGTATATTGTCTATTTTTAAGGCCTCATCTGGTCTCTGTTTTAATAATTTGTTTGTCAGAAGACCCTGAAGTACTCCTAGGTCTTTTTTTGAAAGTCTCTAAATTCAGAATCATTTTTTAATTTAAAGTTCTACAAATAATTGTTACTGCAAACATTTTATTTTAAAACGTTGATAGACTGATATTTCTTGGAAGAAAATGTAAAATATCAAACACTGGTTATCACTTGTGATAGGAAAGAGAATATTCAATCTGTTGTTATTTCTCGTTAGAAATGTAAACCTTCAATATCTGTCGTAGTTAATGACACTACTTCAAAATTATTATGAAAGGAACATTGCTCATGGATGCTGTGCATCATTTTCAGATTTATAATTGTTTTCACCCTAAAATAGGGCATTAGTTGAACTTTGGAGTTCTGAACAAAATCCTGTAGTTTTTAAAATTCTGCCCCATGTGTTCAGACAAGCCCTCTGTGGCTGACAGTACCGGCCTTGGTCTCTGTGTCCAGTGTCCAGGGGTGGGCAGGGGTCTGCGCGGAGGGCCCGGCAGGTGTGTCTCTTCATTCTGTCATCTTGCTGCGTTTTGTTAATGATCTCCGAAAGCAACATCTTTGCATAGAGATGGTGGCATACGGTACATGTGCCTTAGATGTGACATGCTGCTTCTCGACCCTGGGTTTGCATTCAGCATAATTCTAGAAAGTGCTAGTTTAACCAGACTTTTCTCTCCACCACTAGATCCTTGTCTCTCCAAGGCCCTCAGACAACTCCGTACCCGCTGAGGGAAGCCAGGCTCCACCGTTGGCTTCTGGAGCCTCCGCTACTTAATCACTGCAGATTCCAAATCTCTAGGCCCCAAAAGTGAGCTGCCTGGTCCAAGTACAGCTTGGTCCCACCCTGAGGGAGGCAGGTGTGGGGCAGAAGCTGAGTCTCTCCGTGCCCCCACCTGGGCCCTGGGGGCCCACACAGCTCGAAGCAGAACCCTCTGAGCATTCTCGAGACCGCTGCTCTGGGAGCCTGCCCCGGCTGATTGATGGGCATTCCTAAACCACCACCCTGGCAGGAGGGGTGGCCACAGGGCCTGTTGTCCCAGCCTGTGCCTGCTCGGACGGCATTCTCTCAACTCACTGTTTACTGTCTCTCAAAGGTCCAACTGTGATGAGAAGCCTGGAGCCCTGCCCTGTACCCCTTTTGCTATGCACCACGCTTCATGGTGCTCTTACCACTGATGGGTGCTACACGTGACGGGTGCTTCTTAGGCAAAACCAATGTGTGCGAACCACACCTGTGCCACTTGTCCAACAGCCGCGCCCACGATTGGCCAGCTGGGCCGCGCACTTCAGACTGCCTGCCTCTGGGCTCTCCCCATGGCTGCGCGGGGACAGCTTGGCTGGTGCCTAGTGGCCCACCTTGTCTCTGGTGCTGCCGTCTGTCCTGGGTGTGCCTTCGCCCCAGTGCCTGCTGGAAGTGCCCTCCTGTCACACACCCATCCCCGTGCTTCCACGAGGGACCTCACTGGTTCCACGCGCCTGCCATGCCCTTTCGTGGTTAAAACGGTTGGTCGTCCTTCATCTGCCTTTCCTTTCTTCACTCTCCTGGGATTGCTTTGGGGGCAAATTGGTGTCGTTGGTTCTGTCCCCATAAAGGAGTCATGTGTCCCTGCTCATAAAGGAAGGACTTCCTGCAGAAGCTCAGAAAACACTCTTCCCTCAAAGGTGTCACCAACCTTCTCCAGGCCTGTCCCCTGGGTTCTACCCTGGAGGCCTGAAGGAGGGAGGACCTCCTGGCAGTCCCTACCTGGCTCAGGTGGCTTTCCTGAGGCCAGGGGTTAACAACAGGGACACCCCTGCGACTTCCTTTCCAGTCACTAAAAGTGTGTACAATATTCAGACAAATTTTAGGGTAAGCAGCATCTTGGTCTGGTAAAAAAAATTTTCCCTGCTCTGGATTTAAGTCCTGGTCTGGGTGTGGGCCACCCAGAAGCACTCTGGGAAGCATCCCTCACTTGGTGGTGGGACATTCCTAGTAGCCCTTCCTAGACAGATGTTCCTGATGGGGTGTGGCGGGGCTCCCGGCCTCCCACCTTAGGGGCCCAAAGGATGTAACTTGAGTAACCAGCACTGTCCTCCAGGCTGAGGCTTGGCCTGTGTCATAGCTTCATCTTGGTGTGATTTGATTATCTTGGGGGGGCACGTAGCTTCTGGTCTCTGTTCTGGGTACATCTCTTGGGTACTCAGGACATGTGGGAAGGTGGCTTGGACAGTGTTCTGAGCTGTCCTGACTGTGGACGTGCCTGTGTCGCTCCATCCTAGGACTCCTCGGTGCCCTCGCCTGGGCCGCCCGGGCTGTGGTGTCCTTGTGGCCGAGGCCCAGCAGGCCGGGGGTCAGCCCGCCCCGCTTCGCAGGGTCCCGGCAGCCCAAGTGCAGGGTGGGCACGTGTTCTGTGGGTCTTGGTGTATGCTTCCCTTTTACCAAACCAGCGGAATTCCCAGCAGGACAGAACTGTTCAATACTTTAAAGAAACTAACTCTGAGTCCTTTGTGCATGAATTAAGCCAATCTGTTACCCTGTCACCTTCCTAATGGAAATGAGAACAACTTCCTGTTTCTACTTGCTTTGAGCAGTTTCTCTTGAACCCTGTGGCTCCAGCCTCTCCCTGCTGCTGGCTGAGCTGGGGATGCTGGGGTGGAGGTGGTCACTGGGGGCTGTAGTGGTCCAGGCCAGGCACACGGGACGGGCACAGCTCTTCCTGCGGCCGCGCCACAGGCTGCAGCGGGCCCATGACGGGGCTCAGAAGCCTGACCCTCTGGTTCTGGGGCTTGTGCCAGTGGAGGCTGAGTAGCTGGAAGTCAGGGTGTGTCTGTGGCGGTGTGGGGGCTGGGCTGTGGTCAGCTGTGGGTGGGGGGCCTTTACAGCAGGCTTGAGGGGCCGGCGGGGTAGAAGTGGGGCTTCGTGGTGCGCTGGCTGGGCCTCTTGGCTCTGGCTCCTGTCTGGGCTGGGGTTGGCCTAAGTGGGACTCTGTTTATAAGCTTGGCTTCGGGCTCCCCACGTGCACGGGCAGCGCAGAAGCAGCAAGGTAGGCATTTGTTTGAACTGTTCTGAGACTTGCCGAGCAAGAAGGTGGTGCTTCGCCCCCGAGACCAGGTCTCGCAGGAGCCTTGGGTTAGGGCCTTGACGTGCCGGTGTGTGTTCACGGGCGGGTGGGCAGAGGAGGGTGCTCGTGGGGGCCTGTGTCGTGACTCCAGTCCATGACCCCCTCCCAGAGCAGCCTCTGCCAAGGGATGGCACCACGTCCCTTTGATGCCAAAACGGCTGGTTGAATTGGGAAGCTCTGCTCCTTCCCTGCCCCTCTCCATGTCCTCCTTGGCCTGTGACACCAGGGAGCCACGGTGTGAAGTGTGGTGGCTCCTGCTTCCTGGGCACCCACCCGCCTCCACCAGGGCCCTGCAGACCCGCTGCCACCAGCGTCCACTGAATTGGCTCTTTGGCAGAGGCTTCCCCGTGACCACAGGAGGCCACCTCAACAAGGACATAGGGTGTCAGGTGCAGTCCCACGGGGACAGCCAGCCACCTCCCCAGACCACCCCAGTCTGCTCCAGGGTCAGGGGCCATGTGTCCCAGTGGACGCCTGCTATCCCGATGTCATCAGCAACAGTGCCCCCTTCACTGGACAGCGTCCCGTGGTGTCACCCGTGGTGGGCCCGGCATATGCAGCCAGTGGACGGTGTCTGGCAAAGGAAAGGACATCTGGATAGACCCTGAAACAACAGTAGTGTCCTGAGAGGGCCCGAAGGGAGACAGGGAGGGCACCGACGTCTTCCTCCCTCTGCACGTGGACGGGTGGCAGCCGCCACAGGCACTCCAGCCCAGCAGGGGGCAGCGTAAGACTCCATGGGGTGGCCTCTTGCCCCTTCCCCAGCCTTCCCAGCCACCTGCCTCTGCTCGGGGTAATTAGTGCATTGAAAAGGGCTCAGGCCGAGCTGTAAAATACTATTTTTTTACTTTTAGTCCAGATCTTGTTAGACTGCAGGAGAGCCAGGGAGAGTTCTGCGAGCTCCTTCACTTTGGTGTTTGTGGGATGAATGGGGGTCTGTCACCCAATCTACTTCTCAGCCCAAGATCACGGTTCTGTCTTCCGTTTGCAAATCTCAGTAGCTCTGTTTTCTCCAAAGTAGAGTGTGCCCGTTAGGGTCCAGGTCAGATGGGGTCGCTGTTGGCAGGTGGCCTGGGCCTCATGGCTGTTTCATCCTGGCTGGTGCTCACTGTCCCAGGCACTGGGACTGTAGGGAGCTGGGCTGGTGGGGGCGTGAGGTGAGGCCCAGAAACCTTCCGGGGCTTTTTCCACCTGCCTCAGGTGTCCTGGACACCGTTGTGGGGCAGGCGTGCCGTGCCGTGGCCCGCCCTGGGGCCGATTGTCGCGTGGCTGAGGAGGCCCTCCAGGCCGAGCAGAGCTTGCATTTCATTTCTCCTGCTGTGCTGTGTCCGAGTCTGTCTTGTGAACTCTCGCCGTGAAAAAGGTTAAAAGTGCAGGATCGCTGTACCACTCCTGTAATTAGTGGCGGTTGGTTTTTATAACTTGGCCCCTCAGACAAGTAAGATAACCTTCAACAGCAAACTAAATGACTTAATTGGAAAACACAAAAGCCGGCATTATTTCCAAGGATTTCTATAAGAAATATCTACAGAACGACATCTGTGATAAAGGAAGTGTGTAAATCAATGTAGACAACTGTGTAACGTTTTCAGAATTGCATTCTTTCTCCGATGGCACACTTCCCGTGTTCAGTTCTATTACCCAAAACAAAGACCAAAGAAGGCCTGTCTCTCATTTGACTCTGTATTTTTAATCTGCCTGTTTTAGAAATTGCCGTCTGTAGTGACCGCTCGCTGTGAGGACCCATCTTGACAGTCCAAGTGATTGTGACCAGTGATTCACGTCCTGTGTTTTTCGCTCTTCTAAGAAAAAACAAAAGTATAAGTTATTGCTCAGCAATAATCATGTTGTTCATGAGTTAGCAACATGTCTTATTTTCTGATAGCATTATTATGTTTTATATTTTTGTTTACTGTATATTATGTGTGGTTTTATTTGATATTTATTTGTGTTTTGAGGTCTTGCAATGTTTTTGTGTTTCTGATGCTAATAACTAAAGTTCGTAAGACTGTAGAATGCGAAACTGAAATGCTAAACTGTCTTATTAGAGGAAAATAAATCTGACTACGGAGTCTTGGCTTCTTACCACACCGTGTCTCACAGGCTGGGCTCCAGGCGAGGGGCCCTCCTTCCTGCTGGGCCGGGGACAGGGCCTGGGCCGAGGCCTGTGTGGCTGTCCCGCTGCTGCCATCTCGAAATCCTCAGCAGTTTTGAGCAAGGGGCCTGCAAGCTGCATGTGGTCCTGCCTGTAGCCTGTCGCCTTCCTTCAGGCGATGGCTCTGACCTCAAGGGAGCCCCGGGGGCCTGACTGTCAAGTCTTTGGTTGGTCCAGAACAGGACCTCTGGCGCTCCGGCCCAGATGCCGGCCCACAGACCTGGGACCGGTCTCCGCTCTACCACTTTGTGGTGGAGGCTCAAGTTCCTCCTCTAGCATGGAAGGACAGCGCCTGACTCCTTTCTGAACCGAGGGGGTTGTCGCTGAGTTAACACCAGTGCTGATGTGTGGGCGGCTGCGGGCGCTCCGTGCGGCAGCTTCCAGGCAGCTGCCCGTGGCTGGGAGTTGGCGGGTCCTGGGCCGACACCGCCACTGCCACCGCCACCGCTACTGCGGCCCGTCTTCATCCCTCCAGGTGGTTGTCTGGGTCAGGCCTGGTTGGCAGGAAGCCCTGCATCTCCCTGGAGGGCCCCCAGATTATCAGGTGGGGGACCACTCAGCCCTCCCCCAGTGTCCTGCCCCCCAACCTGCTCAGCCCCTGCCTGTCCTCCAAGGCACAGCTCAGGGGCCAGGGGCAGAGGAGATGCCATTGGCCTCCAGTGTGGCCCACCAGGCAGCAGGAAGGGGTGGGCCCAGGAACAAAGGTCCTCCCTCAGGGTCCCAGGGCCTCGCCTGGGGGTCCTGCCCTGGCCCATCAGCCTGGCTCTCTCTGCAGGTCCACCCTGCTTCCACCATGGCCAGGCTGGCAGCAGCCATGATGGGCCATCAGAGAGTCCCCCCAGGGCCCAGGCGGACTCCACCCTGCGTACACGACGGGAGCCTGTGGCTGCCTTGGCTCCCAGGAGCTGCCCCAGGAGCACCACCTTGTTGGTCCCTCCATCGGGGGCCCAAGTCCCACTCCCTATGGTGGAGACCTGCGCTCCATCCACCTTCCCGGACATTCAAGCCCGGGGTCCCCTGGCGGCCTCGACCACGCCAGAACACAGTGACACCCGGCAGTGTGCCCCGGACACTGGGGAGTGTGTCAGCGCCACTGCAGGGGGCTGGCCCGCCAGGACTTCAACAACTAGATTCTTTTCTTTCTCCCTTTTCGGATTTCTTTCTCTGGGTCCTGTAGGAAAGGAAGTGGGCAGGAAACCCGAAGGCCCGCTGGGCTTGGACGGAGCCAGCTTCGGCCCTGGGCTTCTGCGCAGGTCTTGTCGTCCAGCGGCAAGAAGCAGGCTGACTGGGGGGTCTGAGCTGCTCCTCCGAGGGACTCAGGCTTCCTGCCCCCAACCTGATGTCCAGACCTCAAGGGGGAGGAGGGCTAAGTCCAGCCACGGGGGCAGACGAGGCCATCGCGTGCCTCTGTCCTGCTCTTAACCAGCGCTGGGAACAGAGGGTCATGGTCCAGGCCTGGAGAGGAAGCCGGGCTGCCTTGTGACCTCTACCTGCCTCCTCTCGGCTCAGGGGGACCAGGACAGGGCCACTGTGCTCTGAGTGATGAAGGAAATGATGAGACAGCAGCGGGTGCAGAGTGTCCCTCGCCAGGCCCCTGGCGCCCGGCTCACGGGCAGCGCTATGAGGTGGCGCCGTCTCTACACCCGAAGCAGCAGCAGTCCCCACGTGTCCAAACCCCACTGAGGACCACACCGGGGAAGAGCCTGGACTAAAACTCGAAACTACTTGGGGAGACGGGCCAGAGAGGAAGGCCAGGGCAGCCCGAGCCCACCCCTGCTCTGTCGGCCTTCGGAGACCTCGGCGTCCAGCGACACTCGGACCTGCTCGGGTGCCTTGTGAGACACTGCGGGAGTCACAGGTGGCAAAAACCTAGACTGGATCTGGATTGTGGAGTCCAGGGCGTTTCCAGTTGCATAATCCAATCCCAAATCAACAATTTCTTGTTACGTAAAAAGACCAGGAGAACCAAAGGGCTGTACGGCAGAAGTGTCACCGCTGCCCGTGCCTTGACCCTGCGGCGGCAAGTTGCTCTGAGGCTGGAGGCCTGTGTCCTTTGAGTGCCTCGGTGTTGCCTGGAGGTCTTAGTCCTTGATTACAAGTTAAAGGTTGAGGGAGAAGACAACTGTCAAACTGCTCTAAGCCCACGTCCTTCACTCCAGCGGTGACTTCAAGTGGACCCGCTTCCAGTGACCCCCGACCCCAGGGTCGGCTCGGAGGCTGGAGCCGGGCCTCAGGGACAGGCCGGCTCCTGCAGCAGGCAGGTGCCAGGCGGGGCACTGTACACGAGGCACACCCGTCTCCTCTTCTGTCGAAGGGGACACTGCTGGTGCCGCCCCAGGGTCGGCGTGGAAAGCCCCAAGGCCACACGCCCAGAGGGAAACACCCAGACAGGGTGGCTGGCCCTGCACTGCTGGCCCAGGTCAGCTCCAACCAGCTGCAGGCGCACGGGAGGTGGGAGACCACACGGGGGCCATGGCCTGGGGTCCAGAAGCTTCCACCTCCTCCGCTTCCCCTGCATGGAGCTTGGGGCACTGTCACTGAGTTGGTGGCCGCGTGGGGCGGTGAGGGCTTGCTGTGGCCGTGCTTGTGGCCCCGGCCCCAGCACGGACAGCCTCCTTGCTGGGATGTCCCCACAGGCCAGGGAGACTGCTCTCGCCCAGCCCTGGTCCTCAGACTGCCCTCATAAGTTGCCTCGGGTCACATCCATTCACACGCCCTGGCCCAGCCAGCCTTGCTGGGACCCTGCCCGGGAGGGACAGTGAGTGTTTGCTGGTGCCCGGTCAGTGCCCCCACCTCCAGCTGTAGCTCCTGCCCCTAACAACCCCTCAGTACAAAGGACAGGGAAGGTGACAAATTAACCCTCCCATCCGGAAGGAGGGGTGGAGGCGGAGGTGGGACAGTGGCTGGTCCCCGGCCTGGACCTTGCAGGGGCTTCTTGCAAGCAGAAGCATCTGGGGGCAGGCGCAGCTCCCCGGTGTTCTCTGCCCGTGGATGAAGGGGCCTGACTGTGGCCCCAAGACTGAGCCCTCGTCTCCTGGCGCTCCTGCCCCGCCAGGCCAGGGCTGCCGTGCCCTGTGAGGTGGGCACTGGTACCCCCATTTTGCAGGTGAAGGAATGAAACAGAGAGGCTAAGTGAATTGTGCTGCCTCACACAGCATTTAATCCAGAACAGGGCCCAGGTCTGGTCTGACCATGGCTGCACACCAGCAGGGGTGCTCTGCCTGCCCCGGCCCAGCTCCAGCCAAGCCAGTGGAGACCCCCCAGTTCACACCCTCCAGGGCTCCCCTCTCAGTTGTATCCAACCCACCCCCAGCAACAATGTGCCCCCAACTCGCTCCCCTGGCCCTCCCTCCCCC